TGCTGCTGCTGCTGGTGGTGCTGCTGCTGCTGCTGGTGCTGCTGGGGGGGATTTTGGTGCCGCTGCTGTGGGGAGCAGGGCAGGTGCAGAGATGTAAATGTGCTGGGTATCCCCTTACCCGGAGCCAGTGTCACTCTTGACTATTTGAATGTTGCTTCAGGGGGCTGTGTTGGGTGACACAAACAGCCGAGATGTTTTTCTGTGGTGGAGAGTGTTGTGCATTTGAGAGTGAGCCCTGTTTGATCAGGGTCAGGCTCCAGGATATGGGCTCCTCTGTCCCTTCCTTTACCTATCATGATCACTCAGAGTGGGGTTTGCACTGAGCAAAGCACAGCTAAGGCAATGAGATGAATAATCAAGTCTGGGAATTCTAATCTGGAAATGTTCATATTGACCTGCTCTACCCTTTGTTTCTTGTCTCTTCCTACCAGTCCTAGCTCAGTACAGGACGAGAGCATATGCAGGTATTTTCTAAGTAAAGTAGTTCAGAGCATTATCCTTGTCACTGTTTGATTTTAAGCACTGTTTTAAGTTTTAAATATTACAGGAGGAAAAAGAATATGGTGAAATTCTTTTAAAATCACAGGTATCTGTCCTTTATCTCTTTTTGTGGCTTTGAGCTTGAAGTTGACAACATTACAGATTATATTATAACATGCAGTAAAATTTTCCATTGGTATCTGAACAATGCCCTGGATATTCAGAAGCCTGCCTGTTTGTCTCAGCACTATCAGTTTATCTCATAAAGGATTATCTGTCTATGACCTTTGCCAAAATTACTCCTGTCAGGGCATTTTGCTAGCAGCCTCCTGCTCTTTCATCCAGCTGGGTATTTTTTATATATGCCTCCTATTTTTAATCATTATTTCTATCTAGAATTATAGATATTTATAATACTTTTATAGCCGAGCAACTGCTGTTGTTATCCCCTGCTGTGTATTCTGAATGCTTAAGCTGTTAACCTGGAGGCATTTGACAAATTCAGTCTTGTGTTGATTTCAAGCTCTGGAATGGGAAACAGACTTACATAAAAATGGGGAAGCTGGATGTGTAATTTTTTTATTAAAAATGTGGTTGAGGCCTCTTTGATATGACAGTTTTTCCAGTTCAGGAGATACTTGTTTTCATTCTTGCTTTTATGAAGGACATAAATTTCAGCCACATTTCTGTCTGAGTTTATCTGTGTTCCAGTGGAGTTAAAACCAGTGCAAGCAGATTAACAAAAGGTATTATCTGCACTTAGTGACACCAGGTAGTGCCTGTGTCTAGGAATCAAGGGTGGATCTCCCTTTGGGTGTGACAATACTGATGCACAGCAATTTTGGGCACTTCATGCAATGTGGTGTAAGAGACCAAAAGGCACCTGCTATACTGTGTGGAGTGGAAGAGGAACAGCTTTTCCTATCATCAAGTTTTTTACAGAACTGCAGCCAATGGAATAATGTGCATGCACTGTCCACCAGGGAGGACAAAATGAGACTAGTGCTGGAGCCCCTCTGCTATGGACCCAGGCTGAGAGCTGAGGCTGTTCAGCCTGGAGAAGAGAAGGCTCCAGGGAGACCTTAGAACCTAGTCCAGTGCCTAAAAGGTGTCCAAGAGATCCCCTATATATACCTATGAAAATAAATATATGCCCTCAGAATGACTTTAGACATCCTCTTTAGGTTCTTGATTTATTTTAAAGGTACGAAAAACCAAGTGATATTCAGACAGATCTACTTTTGCTTCAATTTTTTGCTTCCTTTCTCGCATCCACTGCCAAACATCTGGAAATAATGGCCTTAGTGCTGTTTTTCCCCCTCTTTGCTTGCCTGTGGAAACAGCTTTGACATGATGTATCTTGAGACATGCTTATTTTACTAGTAGTGCGTCCCAGCTTAGGTGTCAGAAACAGCCATTCCTAAAATAAAGTGTTGAAGAACATTCATTTATGTTAGGTGAAAGATTAGTGCTTTGGGGCTCTTCTTCTCCAAACAAGAAAAGATCTCTGTGCTTTTTCCTTGGCAACGCTATTTCTTATGAATAGCTTCCTACTTTGATTTGTTTAGAGAAAAACATGTTGCTTAGGTTGAAGGACTGACTCCTTTCTAGGACAGACCCATTTCCTACTCAAAACCTACTTACTCAAGCTCTCTTCCTCATGCTGTGGGTAGTGGTGTCATGGCACAGCCCTGTCTTGTCTAATTGCTGAGCACAGAGGTGAACATCCTCACTTCCATGACATGATATTCCAGATGTGAAATGAAGGAGCAGGATTCCATGCCTAAGCTAAAGGCTCCAGAGCACACAGGAGCTGTGGGAATACTGATGCACAGTAAACTAGAGATTTATGGAGCCCTTCCTGACCCATGTCCCTGAGAACGAAGATAGCAAGGTGCAGGACAAGAGTTTGTGATCTCTGAAACCCACCTGAAAGGCCAAGGATTACTGCTGTCATTGACGCTTCTGGAGGCAGAGAGTGGCAGGTTGTGTATGGAGCATCAGTTCTGGGATGGGATCAGCTGAGAAAAAACACTGTCAGGAAATTCATAATCATATCTCTCTTCTAATCTTTACAATGTGAGGTAATTATTAATTGAAAGTAGCACTGGGCCAAATTCTAGTGGCACTAGAATGCTATAAACCTGTGATATTTCTGCTTAAGAGTGTGGCTTTTCTCCTGTGCAGTCAAGACCATAATGCTGACAGATAACAAACATGAGGGAGAGAGTCAGCAACTTTGGGCCAGATGGAGAAGCTGTTATGTGAAGCCTGGGTGGGTCTTTCACCAGCTGCATTGAAGACATGAAGTTACCACATTCCTCTCTGCAATATTGCTCCAAGTGGACTTAGGCAGCTGATAAGAGCCATGCCATCAGGTGCCATCCAGGGGGAAATCTAACTGTTATAACAATGTTCCAAAGGTGGAAAGTCTGGAGCTGATTGGCTGGTGCTCCATGGAAAGCTCAGCAACATGCCCTATATATTGCCAGAGATGAGAGGGACCAGCTTCTGTTCCCACTGCAAAAATGGGCTCCAGCATCTTCCCACTCTGCCTGACACTTCTGCTATGTCCTGCCTATGGTTCTCCAGTCTCTGTAAGTAAAACCTGATTTCTACAGGCTCCTCTCAGTCCAGAGGCATCTCATACCTCATTCTGGTTTTATTCCATTCTCCTCTAGGTGGGACACCTCTCCAGTGAAGCTGGTAAGTGCTGTGTGAGCTGGATTGAGTTTTGAAGCATTTCATTCTACTTGCTGTGAGCCACCACGCCCGAACACTTTGTGTTTTGGCTGTCTTGCAGATGCTGGAGCTGGTGAGATATTCAAAGACATTCCCCAAATCAACTTGGGTGAGTTCATGCCTAAATTCTCATGAGACCTGAAGAGTAGTGAGCATAATGCTGAATTTTCAGTGTTGTAAAGAAGGCTGATGGTCAGGTAGCTCATGGTAACAAGAAAATGAAAATCAAGTGAGCTCAGAATTACCTTCCTCTCTCTGTGACTCCTGAATATTTCCAGGGCTGCAACTCTGTGTAAACAAAGTATGCAGATGTCTTGTTTCTGAAGTTTAGACAGACCCATGGTGCTAAGGCAGAAAAATACTATGATTCAGAAGGTCTCTGCAGTCCCAACTGCATTTTCTGCCTATCTCTATATGATATTTATAACAGTTTTGCAAACATGGAAAACAACTTATATGTTTATTGATCACTGTCCCATTGTGTGATTCTTGTCACTGCCTGAGAGCAAGCAGAGCTCATCAAAGGTGAGCATGGATAATGGTGCCACCACAAAGGCAGACATCGCCAAGAAGTAAATACTGAGTAGAAACTAGAAACTGCTCTTACTTTTATTATTACTTATATCTCACTGTATAGAGGCTGGTCCTTATTTATTTTCTGTAGATGCCCAAGGACATTAACTTTGCATAAGCAGGTTCAATGTGGTTTATGAAATTAAATACATTTGAAATTCATTGACACTATCTTTGATTAAATTGCATTTCAGCTGCTGGACTGGACCTCTTTCAGGGTGATATCTTACTCCCTGTAAGTAATTAAAAGCTTTCTGTTGCTTGTCCTAATTGTTTTTTTTTGCTACAAATCAGCTCATGTCCCTACAGTAGATGCATCACCAGCTATTAATTCTCTTTTCAGAAAAATCAGCGAAATGCCTTAAGAAATGAGACCTACAGATGGAAGTTCCCCATTCCCTATATTCTGGGTGATGACCTAGGTAATGCAGACATTTTATTCAGATTTTATGTCCAATCCTAACTTGCACTGCAGTCACTGTGATAAAAAATTTGCCTTTTTCAGAACTGTTTCAAATTAAAAATATTAAACTTCACTAATAACTACTTATTGTAGTCTTGTCTGTAGCAAAATTATTTTTCTTTCTTCTACAGCTTCTATAGCAAACCACAATTCTATCAAATTCAATAATTTCTCTTTTCAATCATTTTTCCTTTGGTTCCACGTGTGTCTCTGTACCTATCTTACCTCTCCAAGGTGAAAAAACAGCAATGCATTAAAGGTTCTGTCCTTGTTTTCCAGACCTGAATGCCAAAGGAGTCATTCTCCAGGCATTTGAAATGTTCCGCCTGAAGTCCTGCATTGATTTCAAGCCATATGAAGGAGAAAGAACCTACATTTTCTTTAGCAAACAAGATGGGTAAGGGTAATATCAATTTCTGTTTAGTTTTACTTTAGAATCAGCTGGGAACTCATTCCATTTAACTTCAGCAGTCCAAAGATTTGCTGTCAGCAGAGAAAAAGAGGTCACCAGGAAAACAACTCATCTTACATTCTTAGACAAAGAGCTTGCAGGCAGCTGCTCCCTCTGCTGACTGTTATTTAGATGATGAGCTCTGAAGGTGAACCCCAGCATCTCTGGGTTTTCATCAGCTACTTCTACTTTGCCATCTAGGGTTTTTTTCCATTTTGATGCAGACCCCCCTGTAAATCCTTTTAACTTACCAAGAATGTGAATGTGAATAGCTAGAATTTAAGTCTGGAAATTTTTTATAAGATAGAAGAAAAAAAAAATAGGCAGTGGAAAAACAATCTATTGTAATTTTTCTATTGTTTTGACATAGATCTTTAACGAATGGTCTCTCAAAATCTGAAAGGGTTTTATGCACAGAGATTCCAGTTTTCAAGGATTTATTTCCTACTTTAGGAAGGATTTATTTCCTGTTTGAAAGAAAATGTAGAAAAGCACAAAAATCTTCTTACTATATCAGCTGTGAATATTTCTTGTTTTCCCAGTTCATGTTTCTGCTTTCCACTCTTCCTTGAGTGTCCTATGACATTTCTCTTACAAGTTTACAAGCACCATGATTTTTGACAAGTCAGTGTTGAAGATCTTAATACTGAAAATGTATTTTCACAACTCTGGCCAATGCAAAGCATGGTTGCTGTTAGAAAGAACCAAATGTTGCTGTTCTAAATACTCTTGGGTCGTTTCTATAGCCCAAGTTATTGCAAAGACGCTCAGCCTGTTTTGATGAATTCACTGTTTCCATGTGTGTTGTATGTTTTATGTTTCTTGGACAAATGGCAGCTGATGCAGGACAAAACTTCTGTGGCTTTCAAAAATGCAGGGTGAGCTTCTCTGACACAGTGTAAGCAATGAAGTGATAGTTTCTGAGGGTTAGTCTGCCTTCAGGCTAGAGTATTTTTAGGGTATCAAGGCAAGTGGTCAATATCTAAATAATGATTTATGTGACTCCTTTGATATTAAAACTTTTACAGTCTTACTCTAAATCCAGTGAGCAGATTGAAAAGTTAAATACGGGGAAGAAAACTACTGAACAGAGAGTAAACTCTCCCTCTTTCTCAGGTGCTGGTCCATGGTGGGGGACCTGCAGACTGGACAGAACCTCTCAATTGGGTCAGGCTGTGACTACAGAGCAATTGTGGAACATGAGATCCTGCATGCTTTAGGATTTTACCATGAGCAGTCGAGGATGGACCGGGATGACTATGTGAATATCTGGTGGGATGAAATTATTGCAGGTGGGTTTTAACATTCAAGTTAGATTTTGCAAAGTGCAGATTTATCAGTATCCCATTTTTACTTCTAGATTTAAAGACCTTCCTAAAGATAGAATTTTAGAAACAGTGAGCCACACCTGAGACCACTGTAAATTAAGAAATTTTGGTTCAACTTCTCTGATCAAACCCAGACATTGTTTAAGGCCAGAAGAGTGAGGCCCTGCATGGAAATCAGGACTTCTATTTCCCCTTGGCTCTTGGACTGCTCTTATCTCTTATTTTAAACAAATTACTTCCCTTCTCTGAATCTGTTTTATTTTACCATGTAATGCAAATTGTAAACTTTTTAGATTATGAGTTTTGAGATATCTCTTCTGTAGGCAAAGATCCTTTCAAAATTGGAAAGGTTTTTATATTCAGAGATTCAGGTTTTCCTGAATGTAAAAATATTCACTTTCCACACGGAAAAAACCTTAAAATTATTAGGTCAGATGGGGAATATGAAATAGGGCTCTGTCCTGCTCTCTCCTACCCAGTTGTGTCTCTGCAGGTTCTTGCCTTCAGGTTTAATATCACCACATTCAGGAGCTTTATGAATTTCAGCAAACTCTTCACAGTCCCCCTGACCCCTAGGCAGTTTTTCCTGTTGTCCCCTGTGAGAGCTGATTCTGTATTACATAACAATGATTTATTTGAAAAGGGGTGACTAGAAGAGGGTTTTGTTGGTTTTTTTAATTATTTTTGATAAAAAGTGCAATTCAAGTCTCTAAGAAAACAATTCCGAGCTCTTATATAATCTCAAGCCTTGAACTGAAGACCTTTGTGATTTGCAGAAGGGGAGGGTAGTTGTTAAGCAGAGAAAGTGTAATTACCCACCAGCTCAGTCACATGCTGTTTGGTCTTTGAAAAAGAATGCCAAATATTCTGAAAACATTATTTGCAATTGTAAATGCTGGCAAGCTCTTTTTACTTCTATACCAAAGCATGTGAAATGGCTCCCTCTCTTTGCCCTAGCAGACATCTTCATAATGAAGAACTTTCTCTAAGGACAAATTACTTCACCAAGAAACCATTAGAAACATGTTCCCAAAAGCTATTTCAATAGAAATGTCATATCAATATTGTAAATATAGGGTAAAAATATCTTCCTTTTTATCTCAGAGATTGCTAGGGCAGTATTTATTTCAAAGAACAGAACCTGAAGACACTTCAGGGCTGTCTTATTTGTCTCCTCCATGAGTTTCAGTGCCTCTCCTTCTCCATATATGATCTAATACCCTGGGAAATGTTTGCATCAATATTCACAGACTCTGGAATAGAGTACATTAATCCTTAAACTTATCCTTCAGGATCAATATTCACAGATTCTGGAATGGAGTACATTAATCCTTAAACTTAATCCTTCAGGATCGTTGCTATTAAACCATTCCTATTAATTCTAATCTAACCTCCTATGTATCCCATTCTTTACAGGTTATTGATATTCATTTTTGAATTTACTGAAGTCACCTGTGGAGCACAGAACTGCAATCCAAAGACACTGCTTTGTTGTCCAAATGACAAACACAAATCTTGCTAAGTTTTAATATTTTGTTGTGAAAGAATTGCTTTTGGGTATATAATTTGTGCCTTAGAAAACTGTATCCAAGGGGACATGCTAATGCCATTTCCTTTCCATTTTCCCTAAAAAGGAAGCACTTTTCTCTTCTTTTACCAGGCAAAGAGCACAATTTTGCGAAGTATGATGATACCTACATTACTGATCTGAACACCCCCTATGACTACGAATCATTGATGCACTATGAACCATTTTCATTTAACAAAAATGAAAGTGTCCCCACAATCACAGCAAAGATACCAGCGTTTGATGACATAATTGGACAACGTTTAGACCTCAGTGCCATTGACCTGGAAAGACTGAATCGCATGTACAACTGCAGTAAGTCAGAATTTAATCATGGCAAACAGTTTCTTTGAGACTGAGCCAGGCTGGTTCACCTCTCTTACACCTCAAAACTCACAAAAACTCTTCTGAAATGTGCTTGAAGAGGTATGGGACAAATATGTGGTGTGCAGATAAACACAATCAGTTTATTCCCTTCTCATTCCTTTTTGGCTCTTCTCACTGTCATTATTTTTGTAAAAACTAGTCAAGGAAAGTCAAACAATTCACACTTTTTCTTCCACACTGCTCCTAGGAGTTCAGACTTGTGGTTGTGTTCTGCCTGTAGTGTGTGGGCAGCCTTGTTATGCTTTTTTGAAGTGAATGCAACTGAACTTTGTCCTCTTCTACTGACATTTGGACTCAATCAGATTATTTTGCACCTGAGATTGGCTAGGTCTAGAGTCCCACACTGCCTAGGTGTTTGCTGAGCTGGTTGAAGGTGTTATCACTGATCATGGTTATTACTGAGATATTGTTGTCCCCTCGGTGCTGCCAGTGGAAGCATCACCTTGCAGGTAAATTCAAGCCAGCCCAAGGTAACTGGGAGGACTTTGCTTGGAGTGGAAGGACAGAGCTCAAGTTCATCGATGAGAGAACTGCCACGAAGAACAATAACCTCAGCTGAGGAATGGTTAAACACAGCAAGGCTGGCAAATAGGCACAAAGACAGTCACCATCTGCAGCTGCCACATGGGACTTATTAACCTTCTGCAAAGAGGTCAAACATTGTTGTCTTTATTCAGGGAATCCCTCCAGGAATCAAATGTTTCCTGTTTTGAGTCGCTGGGCTCACATCTGCTAACATGAGGGTTGTCTTCTCTACAGGATGGTTATACAACTGTAAACAAACCTCCCCAAAATTAGAGTAGAAATTTTAATGAGCTAGTAGCTCACTCTGACGTGACCATGTGTGTATTTTTTTTCAGCTTCAACTCACACCTTTTTGGACCAGTGTTCTTTTGAGTTTGAAAACATCTGTGGTATGATCCAGGGCACTAACCATGATGAAGACTGGGTGCACCAACAGGGCAGCATGATGGGGCAGGAGGACCACACACTTTCTGGGCAGTGTAGAGGTAAAAGAAAGAACAAAACACTTTCTGAGCTAGATTTTCTCCAGGGTTGACTACAATGATGAGTTCAGAGAAGTTGTTAAAGACTCTAGACAATGTTTGCATTCCCAACCTCACTAAACTTTTTCAATTTAGTGGAATGTTGTCCACACCAGCAAGATCAAAGGGGACAAAGAACAATCTTAACTAGAAGTCTTTTAAATATAACCTGGAAAATTATTTACTGCAACCTCCACAGTCTATGTAAGAATTATACTGCCTCTTTATAAGAATCAAACAGCACTTGTAGCCACTCATAAATGTGTTTGCAATGCAAATGGGAAGTTAAGCTTGTGGAATTCTAGTTCTGGAAGTAGAAGAAAGTTGCAGATATTTTATGGTAGGAATTCAGGGATACTTTTTATTTTGACATGGTAATTTCACCATTTTTCAAAGGAAGACTTTCTCAAAAATAGAGCCCCAGTCACAGTCATAGGATGCTAGTTTACAGCTGAGAATGAAGATTAAATCCCAACAGGCAGTTCTGAAAAGCAAGAGCCTAATTTGCCATTGTTTAGACAGGGTAAACTACTACACAACTCCAAGATAAAGGTGACTTCTGTGGTAAATTTTCCCTCAGTAGAGGGGAATGGATTCCTTACCTAAAGCACATTCACTTGTGCTTTGTTACTCTTTGGCTTGCTGCACTGAGGAGTAGTTTATTCCCCTCAAGTGACCCACCCACTGGAGAGAACAGATGTCCAATATAATGCGTTTGTAATGCTAGTAGTTATTGATCAGGCCCAAGAACATAACTCAAGAAAACCACCTGGTATTTTCTCAAAATACATGCTTCAGCTGATTCTTAATTCTTTCTTTCCTCTTTTTCACCTTGTACAGTACAATTGTAACTGGAAAAGATAATTTAAATGAGTTTTGGAGTTTATCGCATAAAATCCAATTTGCCTGAACTGGGCACTTAATGTGCAGTTAGGTTTTAACATCCAGTGACTCAGTACAAAATAAGTATCAATGTTTTTTGAAGAGTTAATGGAGAGGGGTGGGTGCCTCTGAGGATCTCCAGAATGTAGAAATGAATTGCATGAGTAGGGAGTGCCTCTCCTTTTGGCACCTCTGAAGTGTCATTGACTCCATCAAGAATTTCTGACATTTTTTGAGAACTGGTTCTGCAATTATTTCAAGTGGGGGTAAATTCTAAGGTTGTAACATAGATGGATCCTATTTTCCATAGACAGTTTTGATATTCTGGGGTTTTGACTTATTGCCAGCTAAACTGAAGGAGGGAAAATACAGCTTAACATTTAGGGAGATTGCTGAAGTCTGACAAGGCCATATTCTAGTTGCCATAGATACTTAACATTGCCTTTATTTGACTTTCTTATCAAAAAGGAGGTAGAGTCTAGATAATTTGGGGGTTTGTTACTATAACAATTGCAAAAAAATGCCCTGCTTCTCATTTGGAGCAAGAGTGATCATACTTGAATTTAATAGACTTAAAATTAAATTAAGTTTAACTGATGGTTAAGTGTCATACATTTCATAGAGCAATTTCTGGCAAGGTTTCTGTGGATATGGGTTCAAAGCATTGCTTCTATGTGGAAGGGAATGAAGATAATTCCCCTGACTGGTTAGAGAGAATCTGATAAACAGCTCAAGGCCCTTCACTAACCCTGCAGGGAGCTGCACTGCCTTTATGCAGCTGCAGGTGTAACTTTTGGAACAGATGATTTTTAAGGGTCTTTCCAACCCAAACCATCCTGTGATTCTAAGATATGTTATCTTGGACAAGAGTCCATGGAACTTTCACACAACAGTCAAACATAGTTAACTTACTAATTTAATCATTGACTAAACTGAATAACTGAAAAGCAATGCAATACAGATAAGACATGACAACTTCATGTGATACCAAGATATGATAGATGTGCAAATGGTGAGTCTTTGTAAATATGAGGATAAAAGCAGACACTTCAAAACTAAACACTTCAAAAATGTTAATGGGAAATAGAGGAGCAGGAATTCATAAGTAATTTTCTTATTGTGAGTCACTGAGTTTTGAAGTGTTTGTGCAATCTGTAACAAAAGACCTTCTGCATGTTCAAGGTCAAGACAGTGTTTTGTGTCCAACCCCTGTTTATTATCTTTATTGCTGATAAGAAATTAACTTACTCTTTACAAGGTAATATAGTTCATGACCTCTAAGATCTCATTTTTAGATTATCTTCAGTATAAATAAAGTAAAAAATATTATCTACTGATTGCTTGTGGTCAACACTGAATTCTCTGCCTCATATATCTCTGACATTCCTGAGGAATCCAAATTCCAATTAGACCAACTAATGCAAAATTGACATGAGCTGGCAGCAGTGAGTTCCATATATACACTGAACTGCTCCTCCTGTCTTCGATGATTGTCACGTGTCATTTCCTTTATTGTTCCTGTTAAGTACTACTCTTCTGTTTACTAAAGGAGTGGAGATGACATTATGAATTTACACCATGCAGTTTTGCAGGAAATGTGTAAACAGGCAGTGACAGACTACCTTTTCTTCCCAGATGCTGGCTACTTCATGTATTTCAACACCAACTCTGGCCAGGCAGATGAGGTGGCAGTCCTAGGGTCCCGAATCCTTTATCCTAGGAGAACTCAGCAGTGCCTCCAGTTCTTCTACAGGACCACAGGAAGCCCTTCTGACAAACTGATCATTTGGCTTAAAGAGGATGATGGCACTGGGAACATTCGCAAGATGAGGAAGATTCAAACCTTTCAAGGTAGTTCTGGAAATAAGATGAATATTTGGCTAGAGAGGAGGAGTTGTCTTACTGTGCCCAAGAATGCAGAAGACTGTCTCAGAAGCCGAAAGATTTTCCTGAAGTTACCAGAGTATCCTGTAATACAGCTAAGAATTTTGGTATTACATGAGCACATTTAGCAGACAAACTGTGGGTTGTAATAATGGAATTTTGGTGCTTCACAGCAGAAGTCACAACATTCCTAATATTATGTTACACTCAGTGATTGAGAGGGACCCCAAGCCATGCTGGAGACAAATGTCTCCACAGGCTTCTATGTGATCTAAGAGTGGGCTGTTCAGGTGTGAGGACTGTGCTCTTCTGCAGTCAGTAAGAACCCCAGACTGATTTGTAGATAGTTGGAAATATAAAAACAGATGAGTTTTGGAAATTTGAACTGGATTCCCACTTTGGGTGGTATGCTAAATAGGACAAACTCAGTCACTGTGGCTCCATGTGATTTATGTTGTCAAAAAATAAGACCTGTCATAACCTGCCTACATCAGGCTGCAGCAGTTTGCAGTGAAGGATACAATCCATGAAAAAGTGTCAGGAACACATTGGGTGATTGATTCCCATCCTCTTGTTTAATCCTAGCCCTTAGTCTGTTGCCCTTTATGCTGGAGGCTGTCATTCCCCAACATGTGAAGAATTCTTTGTACAACATGTCCAAAGCATTGAGATGACAAAACAATGTGGATATATTATAGTCATAATATCAACTTAAGATCTCTGGCCATCAGGACTCTCTGAGGGGTCCAGTTGTCTAAAAGTGCAGCTGGGATGGATGGCTAGGGACAAATTGCTTCATAATATCTCTAATCACACTGATGGTAATGTTTTTCTTTCCTTTTATCAAAGCGGACAGTGACTCCAACTGGAAAATTGCCCATGTAACCCTCAACGCTCAGAAGAAGTTCCGTTACCTGTTCCAAGGACTGAAGGGCAACCCCAGCTCTTCATCGGGTGGGATTGCCATTGATGATGTGACTCTGACAGAGACCCCCTGTCCCACAGCTGTGTGGGTCATTCGCAACTTCAGCAAAATCCTTGAGAACTCATCCATCAGCGTTATTGAAAGCCCCCGGTTTTACAGCCCTGAGGGTTATGGATTTGGCATCAGCGTGTTTCCCAACTACCAGAACACTGGCTATGCTCGCATTGCCTTCCACCTGTGCAGTGGAGAGAACGATGCAGTTCTGGAGTGGCCGGCTCTGAACCGCCAGGTCACGCTCACGGTGCTGGACCAGGACCCCGACATCCTGAAAAGGATGTCCTCAAGCAAAAGCTTCACCACAAGCAAGGACCATATTGACTCAAGTAAGTGGTGTCTGCCTGCAGGAATGTTGACAATGACAGCCAAGGAATCTGAGTAAGAGGACTGAGTGTAGGACTCAGAGCTGAGAAACTTTGGCCATATTTCCCAATTTGGGACACTTTCCCTGTGTGTGACTCAGAATTCCTGCCTGTGGAAGACTGTATAGCACGAAAAGTGACACATATAAAGTTGGTGTTACTATGAACAACCACTGGGATATCTGAGCTTGACTCTAAATACAGAATTTTTTCCAAGACCTGGGAAATCCCATCCTGCCTGTGGATTGTCTATTGTGATAGGTGACATATCACCACAGGTTGATGGAATGCCAGCAGCGTGCAGTATTCTGTCACTAAACAAGAATTTAAGTTAAAACTGCATTTTGGAGGCTCAGTCAACTTCAACATACTCAGTGACCCTCAGCCTATGTGGTCTGAATGCAGAACATTCACCCTTTCTCACAGATGTGTTAATTCAAAATTGTTCAGCCTGGAGAAGGCTGAACAATCAGGGGGGCCTAATTGTGGCCTTCCAGTACCTGAAGGGAGCCTGCCAGAAAAATGGAGAGAGACTATTTACAAAAGCATGGAGTGCCACGACAAAAGGGAATTGTCTTCAAACTGAAAGAAAGCAGATATAGATTGGATATTAGGAAGAAATTCTTTACTGTGAGGATGGTGGGGCACTGGAACAAGCTGCCCAGAAAAGCTGTGGATGCCCCATCCCTGTAGGGATTCAAGGCCAGGTTGGATGGGGCTTGGAGCAACCTGTTTGAGAGGAAGGTGTCCCTGCCCATGCCAGGGGGTTGGAACGAGATGATCTTTTAGATCCCTTCCAATCCAAACTTTTCTGTGATTCTATGATAAAAAGAATAATAGGTCAAAACTGAGTTTGGTTCAAAATAAAATACTACACATGAATCTTCATCCCTTTCTACTTTTTCTAGTGGAAGTTAAATACATTCTTTTTCAGTTGGAGCTTTTAAACCCTAAATGTGAATATGAATAACAAAATCTTAGTAATGACCAAAATCAGCTAAATTCTAAACCATAGGTTTACAAACTGGTCAGGGAGAGTCCTTACTCAGGACGGAACTCTTAGCTGGTAACAATGAGGATGCAATTTGTGTTTGTTTAGTTCTCAGTGAAAGAGGAATTGTGGAATTTTCAATGGCTTCACATAGTCTAAGAATCCTTGTGCAGATCTAACCTGAAGATCACCTGTCACCTTTAGTTTGTCAGTCCTCTGGGATTTGTCTGGAAATTTCAGGCCTGAACTTGATTTTACAGCATAAATCCCCTTTAACACAATAATGCAGGAAAAAGTCATGTCATACTTTGAGCTGCACAGCTTTGTGATTTTCATTTTCTCTTTGCAGGTAATGGAACTATAATATGGGATAAACCATCAATTGCTGGAATATTTGATGAGTCATGCAATTGCAACAGAAGTGTAGCCTGGGGGTGGAGTAACTTCATATCCCACAGCCAGATGAGACGAAGAAGCTTCCTGAAAAATGATGACCTGATTATTTTTGCAGAATTTAATGGTAAGGACCCCTTTCCTGATTCTCCTTACAAAAGAGGTGATTCTTTCTATTTTCATATATTCCAATAACTCTTGACACCTGTCTCCGAGGTCTTTTCTAATGGAGATCAACTTTAAAAAGCATTTCTGTGTCCTAGTGTCAGGTGGGTGAGGTTGACTAAAGTGATTGTGAGTTAAGATGGATCTAAATGGCAGAGAGTCTTAAAATCTGAACTTCTTAGAACCTTTAAGCACCCTGACCAGTAACTATGTCCATTTCTAAGCACCGGACATACTAAAGGCCATCCCCAGTGTGTTTATTTCCAAATAGAACATCCTCACAGAACATCACAGATTTACCCAACTAGTTTCTGTAACTTCAGTATTATTTTCTATCTTGTGCTTTAAATACATAGAACTTGTTTTGGTACAGCAGGAGCTCTATAAAGGGAAAATGGACAAGGAATACCCTCTGGTCCAGAAAGCATCCTGTGAGCCCCTGATGTGAGGCATGCTACATAAAGCATCATTCACTGATTCTGATACCTTTCTCCTTTTTTTAAAGACATAATTCACCTCAATAACACTGAAGTTCCTGTTGAACCTGTGCAATCTGCCCTGATGGAAGGCCTCATTCTTGAAAGGCAGAAGAGAGCAGCCCAGGGCATGGAGCCTGTTCAAGCTTATCTGCCAGACCCATGTGACCCAAACCCTTGTCAGAATGATGGAATCTGTGTGAATGTGAAAGGAAAAGCAAGCTGCAGGTACCACAGACCTCCTCCCTCCTTGCCCTGGCTTTCTTCTTCAAGTGATGCAGCTGAAAAGTATTCAGAGCTACAGACCTCAGAGGTCTAAGCCACCAGGTCTTCAAGGAATAGCAGAAACAAAATACTTTACTAGAGTTACTAGTTCCTACCAGCAGCCAGGAGAGCATAAAGCAAAGAAGTCCCATTCTGTGGTACTTCCAAGGTGTGTAATTAGCTTCCTAACAAGGTGGGAATGTTGTGACATGAACCCCTCCAATGGGAACTGCTCATCTGGGATAGTGAATGTGAGGGCCTTGGGGTGAGGGCATGACAAGGCTCCTGATCCACTGAATCTGTGCTTTGTTTTCCCAGGTGCCCATCAGGACAAGCCTTCTTCTTCACCGGTGAGAGGTGTCAGTCAAGGCAGGTCCACGGGAACATCCTGGGAATGTCAATTGGGGGAATTGCTGGAACCATTGTCTTAACTATCGTCCTCATTTCCATCATGGCTAGAAGATAAAAAACTGCAGGGGTGACACATTTCAACCTGGTTCATAAGATACCCATTTTCAGTGAAAAATGATGAATATAACTTGGAGAACACCAGTCATCATATGGATGCTCTGCCAACAGCTTGGCAGCAAGCTGGTTTTTCTGAGGGATGTGGTATTTAAAGTGTGTTATGTAGAGCTGCTGTCTGATGAAAACTGCCTTTCTTGTGTGTTTTTTGAAAGTTTTGTTTCTTCCTCCCGTAGCAAGCAGCAGTGCTGAGAGCTTATGCAGGTACTCTCAGCCATGGTTCAAACTTAGACTAAATTACTGGTTGAACCTCTCAAAACACTGTTAACAATCACAGCAAAACACATGTATTAAGATTCTGGAAATGTTCCTACAAAAATTGCTCAAGAATTCTAAAGGGTACAAATACTTGTGTAACTCAGTACATCATCACTCACTTTCCCTGGGGCTGTGCTGGTTTACTTACACCAATTAGCTATTACACAGAATTCATAAACTCTTGCCAATACCGCCTTGCCTATACCAAACCATCATAAGTGCTTTTAACTGCAGAGAACAGTTTCCCATCCAGATTCACCCCAAACTTGCAGGAACAGGTTCACCATTGGCAAACACAGGCCTGATTCCCTGACATTCAAGCAGAACTGTACCACCTGTACATACCTGCAGTATTTGATACTGACCTCAAATCTAAATCTTCATGATTCTACCATACTGTACATAAAATTTGGTAGCATTTGTGTGCATTATAAATACTTTTCAAGTTCTTTTCAAGACACGAGTCCTGCCTTTAAAGGTGTATAGGTTTGAAATAAATAGTTCCACAAATGTAGTATTAGAGCAATAATTTATATAAAACCATTCATCCTGCCTGGCACATGGTGATTTATATTCACTACAGAGCTTATTCTCTGAGTCCTTCAAGTGTGTTTCTCCTCTGAGAGAAGACCCAAACATACAGACTTTACACAAGACACTCCTTGCATTCTTAACACTATTATGCATTAAATAAATGCAGTCCCCTCTGTGGCAGAGGGCAGCAACCATCTCTGTCCTACCACATTACATATCAAGGGAAAGAAAAATATTGTTAAGGGCATAAAGTTTCCTTTTCTTCAAAAAAGTGCCACATGGAGCTTTCAGTCTTTCCATCTGAAAGAAGACCATGCAGGAATCATCACAGTCTTCATTTTCTGTAAGTCAAAAGTGAAGATCTGAAATGGGCCTTCTCAGTTGGGAGGTTTTGGTCCCAGAAAGTTTTAAATAGAAAGTGGAAAGCACTACAGCCTTTCCAGACTCTAATATGAGGGAAGGAGAGAAGCTGTGAGGTATTTGTGTACCTACACAGGCCTTTGGGGTCATTTGGAGAGTTGATAGGGGAAATACCAAATCCACTGGACAGCAACTGAGTGAAGCACTGTAATTCACATCTCAGTACTGCATAGTGCTAAGCACCCACTGAAGGGCTGAGCATTCTTCACTCCCAATGTCCTTTCTTGCACATGAAGGCCTTCAAATCCTTGTCATCTCTTCTGGGATTGGCAGACATTGTAAAATTCCACTTCTCTCAGCTTCCTGGCCTTACACATTAATCAGCAATGATTATTCCAGAAGAATTCACCCAGACACAGTTTAGTCAAAATGAAGCAGTACACTTCCTGGTGACTCCCAGGTACTTTTCATTGTGTCTTGGAAGAGGTCCTTTAGAGTGACATGATTTAGCATTGGCAGTGCTTCAGTTAAGCAAGGAGTATGCCTTGGAAGTATTTTCAGTGGAAGAGGTGGATGGCTCTGAAGAAGATACTCTGTATTTGCCTGCAAAACAAAGCACAGGGGTTAGACAAGAACAGAGAGCCTGTGACTTTGTCACTGCAAAGTAAGGATGGTGACACCTGTGCTGGTGGCTGAGGAGGCTCTGCCCTGCCCTGCAGCCCTGGCACTACCTGGACTACAGCAATTCCAGGAACCACAGAATTCACCGTGTTTGGTGACACAGCCAGGATGTGTCAGCTTGAATTGCCAACCGTGCCACGTGGCAGTGATTTTCTTGCACTTTATGCTTCTCCTGGAGCATGGGGACACATGCAGAACACAACACAGCCACAAGCTCCTGAGATGAATCCCAGCTCCCTCCCTCTTATGGCCACAAGGCTCTAAACTAAGACCCAAATGTCACTATCTTCTCTGAACAATGTGTGGATACAAAGATTGAACACCTAGAAATTAAATGTTATTTCCAGAAATGCTTTTTGCAAGATAAAGTCATAACTGAAATGGTGATGTCCACAACAATGACAGCCAGAGAACCTTTGAAGAAATACAGTTCCAAGGTGGTGAAAAGTACATGAATAATGGATGAACTGTGCCCTGATCTCATTAAGCTCAAGACAAGGCTCACTTAGTGGGGTTCAGAATTAGTGAAACATCCAATAATTGTTTTAGAGATAGACAATTTTGCTGCTAGCATTTTTATGCTATAATTGACTTGTTGCAGTTCCTTTACATTAGAAAATTAAAAACCATGTATGGATGCATGGAGAGACAAATAGATTGATGGATATCAGGACAGACAGACCCTGAGAACAAGAATGAAGGCCAGATCTTGTTTATGCTTCAGTAAGGGAGATCTGTTGTCGCATACCTGTTTTTCCACATAAGTTGTTGAAGGTTCTTGAAAATGGGTAGCTCATAGCAAGCATTGGTGTCACCAGGATCAGGGAGGATGACTGAAAGAGAGAAAATTGCTTTTTGTCAAATGAACTTTCTTTGTAGCCCCATTTTAGCGAGATAAAAAAAGGCTCCAATAAACTTCCAATATTATTAGCAAACAGTCCACAGAAGGTGAAGCTAGATGTTTATGAGATATCATGTTCATACATTTGCATGTATGTTTATGATAGTAATGAAGGAGATCAGCTTCCAAAGAAATTACAGGGCACAAACTGCTTGTCTCTAACTCTTGGCCAGGGGAGATGGCTTAGGCACCAGAGTCTGTCCTAAGAGGCACAACAGGATGCTGTTCTCTTTTCTGTGCCAATATGGCCTTTAAGGTAACCACAAAAGCTAAGATTTATGTGAATGGGGATTTTTCTTGACAGCCAACAGTCTGAGATAATCCAAGGCAAATTTAACTTGACGCACTAGAGGGCATTGGAACACAACTCTCTGCAGTCCAGATGCTAAGGAAGGAACGAAGGAACTTTTTGTTGCCAAAATGAAGTTCCTTTTTTGGTTCTGGAATGGTTTGGGAATTTAACGGGATTCATCCAAAGATGTATTAAAAAAAGGTACGAAAACCACTTATTTTTCTGTTCAGTCTTTCTTCATTAGTTAGTTGTGCTTTGGTGGGGGAAATCAGGCAGTGGTGTGTATTATCATAAGGTGGTAGAGAAGGTAAATTAATCACATATAAAAAGCTTAATCAAAGATTTTATATTGCTTTATTTGTTCATTCTCAGACCTCAAAAGGCTGAAGAAATGGAATGACAGCAATCTTACAAAGTTCAGCAAAGGGAAATTCAAAGTCCTCCTGTCCCTGGAGAGGAACAAACCCTATGCCAGGACATACTCTGGGCTGTCTGACTGGGACAGAGTAAAAACAGAGCCAGACTTTTCTCCTTGGTGCCCAGTGGAAGGACAAGAGGCTTTGAGAACAAATAAAAATACAGGAAATCCCACTTAAGATGAAACTTTTTCACTGTGAGTGTGGTCAAATACAGGAAAAGGTATTTTGCTGCACATAGATTGTGGTGTCTCCGTCCTTGGAGCTGGACCCCAACTGGACACAGCTCTGAGCTCTAGCTGACCATGCTCTGATGGGAGTATGGTGCAAGATGGTCTTTGAGGGTACTTTCCAACTTCAACAATTCTTGTGGAAAATGGAGTGATTTGATCCAATGCTGCTGTTTTGAACTGACAGTTCAACCTTAATGGACTCCTTAATTCCTTTGAGCCTGTGTTCTCATCTTCTTAATTAACCTTGTTTTTAAGTCGGCCTCCTAGTTCTTTAGCAATACCTGTACAGGCTCTTCTGAATAAACCCTGTTCAGATACCAATATAAAATCAAGCTTTATTGTCATATAAGGGTGATGCCAACACCACTTGCAGCTCGGGAAGAGGGGGAGGTGGGTGTTGGAACTAGATGATCTTGAAGGTCCCTTTCAACCCAAACAATTCTAAGTTTCTTACACATCCTGGCATTTTTTGATTAGGTGTTATAAATAGAGAAGTTTAAGTTGAAACAATAATTCCCCAAGAAGTCTCCCTTGCATTTCGCTCAGGTTGTGAATAAATAATAGTGCAAAAAAATAATTTCTGTTTTCTAATGAAAAGTTTCATTTACATTTTCTAGTTTCTTTCTTGTGGAATTTGAAGCAAAAGCCCACTAACTGCCTTCTCATTTTTTTACTAATTATAGTGAAAATAATGAACTTTGAAAAAGGGGATATAATCATCTTTGTGTTGTTAGTATCCTCTCTGACTTGTTCTAATAAATAATCCAGGATTTAAAGTGCGCTGGACAGTGTTAGACTATGCAGCAGTAACTGAAATACATTCTTAGGTCAGGGTTCTAACCTTTGATTGCTGTGAACTCCATTTGGATGATGAATTCCTCTTCAACAGGGCTTCTTGTATCTATTTGTTAAAAAAATTAGTCAATCAGTAAATACAGAAATTCTGTTCAAACTCCAACAGTATTTTGACATAATGTAAGAAATAGTTGGAATTCTTACCTTCTTATCCCAGAGAGTCCCAAACACCAAAATGAATAATCCCTAGGAGACAGATAATTATATGCATTTTGATTACATCAATCTTTAATTGCAATATCTCTTAAGTATCTCCAATATCTCCAACATTGTCCATAGTACTATTTAAACTTTGAACTCTTTGATAGGAGACATTTTTCTAACTGCATATCACGGAGTGGACTGCTCATTTGGCAGTTCCCTAGGCCTGGTCTATTTAAATTCTGTGTTGATCTGATCTACAAACTGACACAGATAGTTTGGTAGCACTTAATGTATTTGGAAGAAGGAATGTTTGTGTATGGAAGACATGTCCTACCTATGCTCTCCTGGCAAACTAGTAGGTTCCAAGAGAAAGGCCAGAGAGTTTGGTTTGAAGAACACAGTTTTGGTGCCATTCTTAACAATGGCAAATCTTAAGAATTCTCTTTAAAGAGAGAGTACAACATAACCATTTTGTCCTTAAGAAATCACCTTGTATTGGGATTCTACTGGCCACCTAAATATGTCACAAAAGTAATACTGACTGAAAACTCTCAATCGTGTATTTTTGTCAGTTCTTCTCTTTATCATTAGTACTTCTCAGCTGGTCTTGCTGACTTTCTTGTGGTTTATACTGGAATTCCCAAAAGCATAACATGATGCCTCCAGCTGCACTATAAATGGAAACAGGGGTGCTCAGGTTTGCCCACCTGAACAGGGCTGTTTTCCTGGTCTTCAGCAGTGAAGTTGATCCCAGAACTACTGGCAAAGTAGGCAGTTACCTTTAGGTCAGCTTTATCTACATGGCACATCTGCTAAGGCAGCTGAGAATATGAAATACCGCTGAATTCCTGGAGTGGCTTTCCCAAAGAACCTTTTTGGAATAAGGATGTGTAAGGGAAATTTACGCTCTTCCCTGATGTTCTTATGCCCTGCCAAGCACATCACTGCAATAATGTCTCTATGTTAAATCATGATAAAGGAAACAAAAATATGTGCAACTCAC